CCCCAAAACCCCAAAACCCCAAAACCCCTTAAAGTAAGGTATAATAGTTCTAAAAGACTCAGTAAATAAAATAAAATTTTAATATAATTCTTCTCAAATGGATATTGAAAAGATCATTGAATGGTAATTCTTCAAACTATTGTCAACTTGATATAGGACTCTTAAGAACGGCTCCTCTTATCCAGGAAAGCATAATTATCCAACTGAAAGAACCTCTCCAGCTTGCAAGCCTTTAGAGCCAAAGTCTTAGGTATGTGACTATCATAAAGAAGAGTGTGCAGATAAAATAATTTTTACGTTATAGATGATGATTATCTGGAAGTCAATGATTGAATACTTAAACAATAATTTGAGAGCAGGTCGTAGTGTAAATATCAAGGGATTCGGATCATTCACTTTTGATATTGACACAGAGCTTCCAAGAATCGCAACAAAATCAATCAACCCTAAGACTGATTTGGAAGATTAGAGACTCGATAGAAAGCATGTTCATAAAATCAAGTAAGTTACTTTTTATATATCATTCAAACATACTTTCACATTCTGGTTTGAAGTTCTAGAGTTATTAACGAATTCCAATTATAGGCCAGTATTCGTCGTCGATTCTCAATTCCAAACACATCTCACTAGATATCATAACAAGGAATAAATTGTACCAGCTAAATCTCAAAACTCAATATTCTAAAAGGGTTTCCGCATGATCTATTGCAACCCAGTTCCAATTGCCGCTGCCTGTTTATTGGGTAAAGATGTTGTGTAGGATGCTTTGAACACAATCTTCTTGGCCATTCAGGATCTTATTAAATACAATAAAGATATTGTCCTCTAATTCGGCTTTGCATGCATCTCCATTATCGGGAAAGCTCTAAGAACTATGTTTTCGCAAAGTTTCATTGAAAGCGCTTAAGACAAGACCTTTGAGCATACTATGAAGAGAAGTACCACTCCTGTTTCAACAATATGGAAGACTTCATACACAAAGACTTTCGCAAGATCTACTCTCGGAAATTTGATTTAAAAGCCAAATCATGAAGTAGTATAGACTTTGAATGAGAAGACCTAAGCCCTAAAGATGATGAGTTTAGATCTGTCTTCCTCTGGGAAGCTCTAGCTTTCAAATAGACTCTCATCTCAAGGAAGAGGGCTTTTCAGTCCTTGAAGAATTTAAGCTATTTAGAAAAAATAAATATATTTAAGTTTCCTTTATCAATACAACTCATTAAATATTGGCTATTGGGGTTTTGGGGTTTTGGGGTTTTGGGG